TTTGCCCCAAGTGTCTTCTGTGCCCATCTCTTGCAGCCCTTGCCTCTACTTGGCTTAAGCATCTCCCCTTGTATCCTGTGTGGGGTGATCAAGGAAGGCAGGCTGTGGTGGCAGTCAGGGGATCCTGGGGGAACAAACGCCCTGTGCTCAGCAGGGTGTTGCTCATTCTGCCCTGCAGTCCCCATTTCCTGGGCAGCAGTCACTACAAACCTCTCTTTGCCCAGATGGGGGGCTCCAGCAGGGCTGGGAGTGCACAGGGAGGATGTGCGCCAGCCTCCTGGGTGAGGAGGGCAATGCAGAGCATGTCAGAGCTGTGCCCCACAGCCCAGCAGGGTTTGCCTCTGTTCTAACACCATCTTCTCTCTGCAGGTCTTCACAACTCCAGCGCAGCAACCGGTGGCCACCCCTCTGATGACCCCCAGTTACTCCTACACTACCCCCAGCCAGCCGATCACAACGCCCCAGTACCAGCTCCAGGCCAACACCACACCCCAGTCCACCCAGTCCCAGACACAATCACAACCATCATCCAGCTCCAGGCAGAGGCAGCAGCCAAAGTGAGTGACCCCAGTGCTGGATGCACGTGTATCTCTGTGTCCCATCTTGATTTTGGTGTGTTGATTTTTGTGGAACCAGTGTTGGTGGGGTTACATTGCACCTTCCTGCATGGGATCCTTGGGGAGGGCGGGCTCGGAAGCTCTCCTGCCATGTGCCTCACGTTGTGCCTGTGTCATTGCAGGACCACCAATCATGCTGCCATCGACTGGGGGAAGATGGCCGAGCAGTGGCTGCAGGAGAAGGAGGCTGAACGGAGGAAACAGAAGCAGAGGTTGACTCCTCGCCCGTCTCCCAGCCCCATGATCGAGAGCACACCCATGTCCATCGCTGGGGACGCCACACCACTGCTGGATGAGATGGATCGATAGGTCCTGCTGGGCCTGGCCCGAATGCTCCACTCTCTTCTCTGGGAAGGGGAGAAGAGAGTGAACAGTTGAAAACAGCTTCCCTTCCCTTAGCCACATAACTCCTGTTTTCTACATCGTGGGAAGTGACTCTTGGTGACGTGCACCTGAGCGAGTGAATAGACTTGGCAGGGCTGGTCTAAATATATATACTATATATAAAAAAATATATCATAGGAAGGGACACTGCAGTGGTCTCTGTGTTCTAGGCCCTGGTTCACCAGTGTGGAAGCTCAGCAGAGTAATTCTGATGTCAAATGAGTCTGTCCTTGTCCATGAACAGCAGTTCTGCTTTCACCACCAAGACTAGGAAGCAAAAGTAGCTGGAAGTGCAGACCGTTGGCGTGGAGTGAGCCTGTTTCATCTGGATTCTCCCAAACCCTGACTGTCATCTCTGAGCCCAGGGAGCACAGAAACCACAGGGGTTGTGACAAGCAAACCCGAGTTCTCAGTTTCTGTGATGGTTTGCTCCATGTTTTCATGCTTGGCCAACCCCTGGCTGTGTTCATAGGGGTCCAGCAGAGCAGCTCTGGAGCTCGGAGTCTTGCTGCCGTACCAAAGGCTTGCTCCTTCCTCTGGCTTCTTTTGGAACAGTATTTATTTAGTTTTGATTTATTATTTCTTTTCTAATCAGACTGCAAAGCAAAACACCAGCCAACAGCAGCTTTCCCAAGCACGGGACAGACACGTGGGGCTGGAACACAGCTGCTCCTATGGTGGAGGACACGAAGCAGCCGGGCGTGCATGGCATCCTGCTCCCTATCTGCTTAACCCTGCCCACTTGTAACCAAGAGGGGTGAATAAATAGTGTTTCTACTGAGCTCTAGCTGAGAGGTTTCCTGCCTGCACCCTGTGCTGCCTGCCTGCCCTCTCCTCTTAGCAATGGATTTGCTTAGAAGCAGAGTTCAGTGGTGAAAGCGGATGCTCCTTCTTCCTTTTGTTGCTTGGAACGTACTGAAACTCTCATGGAGAAGCTGATTTCTGTTGAGCTGATGAATAATGGTTTGGTTTGGATGCATCTTACAGAGATACCACATCGATATCTGGGATACCTCCTGGAATCCTGTGTCTCTGTAGCTGGGAGAGGTACTGGGGGGGCTTGGGATGGGGCAGGTAATGTTGGATAGCTTTGGTCACCTCAGAAACAGCCCACTGTGGTATTGCAGCACCGAGAGTCGTTTCTGAACTGGAAAGTTCCTGCTGCACACACTTGCCTCTCTCCGGCTTTGTTAGTAGGGATTTTCTATGGAAGCAGAGCCTTTGTTCCTTCCAAGGGCTCCTGGTCAGCCTCCTCTCTCTAGGAAGTGAGCAAGAACAGCAGATCTTGGAAAACAAAGGTCTTTTTTGCATGTAAATGCTCCTGAAGAATGGCAGTGACCCAGGAGACAAAGCAAAGCCGTTTCCACAGAGAAATGCAGGTCCTGGCTTGGTCACCATCTCCTCTGCAGCACTGGGGGGGCTGACACGGTGCTGTTCCCCCCCTGCAGCCCCGCAGGCCGGGCTGGGGACGTGTGTGGGGCCCGGGGCTGCTGCACTTGCAGCTCTATTAACCTTAACGCTATTTTTTTATGTTCTGAACTCTGTATGGTGGGAATTGGAGTGGGAGCAGCTCCTCCACAGGGATAGGTCGGACCCAGGGGGTGGGGGTTAGTTGTGCGTTGTCTGCTCCCCCTCTTTTTTATTTTTTGGCTGTCTTTTGGGTTTAGTTTCCCCCTTACCCTCAATAAAAACTCTACTTTTGGGAAGCTGCCTCCATGCCCCAGGTCTCTGCTTCCTGTGGTGACCACAAGGACTTTGCACCCATTAGCAGTGCTCCAGAGGGTGAGATGCCTCCTACAACCTTGGTATTTCCGTGGCATAAGCTCATGTGGTTGCTTATTTCAGGGATTTGGGATTGCAATGTGTGGTCCTTTGGGAATAGTGGGGTTTGCATCGAGCAGCTTTGCCCTCTAGGCCTCTGGCCGATCTCCTAAGGCTATGTCATGGCGAGACGGGAGACACAGCTCCTCTTGCTCCAGCTTTTTCCTATCGTGAAATTTGGTGTGGAAAGATCTTTCTACTGGTCTCACTGGGTAGAAAGCAGAGGGGATGCTGTGCTGAGCCATGCTCCTCACTCAAGCACTTTTCAGGGTGCTGTCCTCAAACTCTTCACTACAGGAGCCTGGTTATGAGCAAGGACATGGGCAGCATCTGCCTTTGTCCAAGGGCTGGAAAAGCTTTTATTGTCCCACTCCAAAGAGCTCTTGTGTGGTGTTTGAGGAGAGACAAGGTCCCCATTCCTCCCAGAGCAGCCCTGGCTGCTCATTGCTGTTGCTGGAGGCTGGAGAAAGAGCCGGTGCCAGTGTGGGAGCACTGGGTAAAGGCTGCGGGTTAAGTGGAGGAGAGAGATGGGGTGATGCAATTCAACCGGTCCTCCCGAGGACATCCCTGTGGAGCTGGAACTTGCAGCTCTGTACCAGGGGAGATAAACCAAGGCTCTGCCCCGTGCCAGTGTGGCGACAGGAGTGGTGTTCCCAGTGCCCAGGACGATGGCATGAGCCAGTGGGAGCAGTGAGGAGCAGCTCAAGCCCCCTCAGTACCCACCCAGTGCCAGCTGCTCACTTCCCACATCCCCACAAGCGGGATCAGCTCCAGGATTTCCCCTGGATGCTGTCCCCCCTGTGACGTTCCCTCCCCAAGGAGACAGAGCTGAGGCTGCACCATCTGCTTGAGCAGATGTAACTTTATTACAGAGCCAGGACCCGCACAGGGGGATCAGGACCGTGGCTCTCCTGCAGGCTGTGCCTCAGCTCTGCTCTTTAGCCTCTTCTTCCTGTTCCTCTCCTTCCTTCTCCTCTTCCCGCTGGTTGTTGGAACCGGGGATGGGGTGGCTGGATCCTTGCCCAAGCCCTCCTGCACCGGGGCATCACTCAGGATGGCATTGGCTGCTTCCAAGTGTGGCAGCAGGTCCCATGGCTCCTGCCCTGCGGTGGGATGAGGTGGGACAGCAGCTGCAGCATCGCCCAGCTCCATG